AATGTACCATCGGCTATAGAAGAATACAAATCCCAGCAATACATTATAGAGCACAATGTGTGGGAAAGTGCAGGCTTTCCTGAGCAGTCTTCCAGCAACTTGCTTCTGAGATCGGACCTGTCTATCGGCGGCTGTCATCCCCCCCCACACCTGCTCCTCTCTACTTCTCCCCGCGTCCCTGTGCCGATTGTGGATGTTGGCGGTTGGTGAACGTGAGGCGGGGGGGGGAGGTGGAGCGTGGGTGCGGGCGGATCTGGCAGCGGCGAACGTGAGATGGGGAGGGGGTGCGGTGCGCAGCGTGTGTGGAGCCGTGAACAGGGCCAACCAATCGGAAGCCGATTAATCGATTGAAAAAGTTGCCAACTTTTTCAATAATCGATTAGTTGTTGCAGCCCTACTAGCATGTGTTAAGGAACTGATACAGGGGTGTGGAATTGCTATCGCCCGACGCCCGGGACATGCAGTTTCGGGCGCCGGGCGAGTAGTTTTAAAGTGCATTCAGCCCGGCTCCGGACAAGCAGAGCTGAATGTACATTGTGGAGCCGCTCGTTTAATACAAGTGGTCTGATCAGACCACTTGTATTAATTTGAGCAGCGGCGATCGCTTCTGCCCGCACCCCCCGCCGTAGTTTTCGGGGCCGCCCGCTCTCCGGGGGACCCCGAAAACTAAGGCACAACGGCTCAGCCATAGAGCCGACGAAAAACGTCTGCTCTACGGGCTCTGTGTTCTCTGAGATGTGTTTTTTTTTTTTTTTTTTTTTTAAATTTCCACACCCCTGTGATTGTGTTGATCTCAATGGAGAAGTTGGGATGGGACATGAGGGGGAACATGTAAGGTGTGTGTGTGTGTTGCAAAGGTAGAATTACACTAACTATAATTGGATGTAAGTTGGCGTTCATTAAAGATGCTGAATGAAATGACTGACGTATATATGGCCAGTAAAGGGCACATCTGCATATGAAATGGCATCATAAAATTTAGCAGAGCAAGCAAGTAAACTGAAGTTGCCTACAATGAATATTAAGTGTTTCTGGTAATAACTCAACATACACCTACCCTTTTTTTTTTTTTTAAAAGGTTTAACTGCTTAAAAAAACCTTTGACAGGATTCATGTAGAAATGTGGATATCCTTTACCTTCCATAATTTAAAAAATCTGTCTTCAGGAATAAGCTGCTTATGTAAGATCAGACGGGGATATTGATTAGCCACAACAGCTGCGATTGCAGTAAGACCAGTGAAAGCAGTTTTCCCCTTCCATGCATAGTAAATATAATTGAGAAATGGTGTGTACATTTTTGTGTTTTTTCGTATTTCTTAGGCTCCATTCACAGGTAGCGACATACCTTTTGCAGCGGCCGGGACAGCGTGACTTTCGGGGCGACGGTAGCGCGACCTTCTGCGTCGGGCTCCATTAGAAAAAAGCAAAATCTGCCGAAAAAAGGGTCCTGTAGAAGCGACCGCGACATGGAGCTAAGACAGCTCCATTGAATATCATTAGCCGGCGAATTCTCACGATATCGCGCGGCAACAATGCGCAATATTGCGGCGGAAATCGCTACGTGTGAATGGGGCCTTAAAGCTGAACGCCAGAATTGTGGAAAAATTGACCTTTGCAGTGGTGGTCCCTTGTGCTTCAAGAGTTAAATGCTTAAAAGAACTATGGGGTGAGTGATTTATTTTTTTTCCCCATAGTTCTCTTAAGGGTCACAGGAGGACATATACTAGCATTCTCCAGTGACCCAAAGCTCATATCGCAAGCTACAGCTTGTGGTATACTGAGACTGCCGCAGCCGGGACGGATCCTGACATTACTGTCACGATCCAACCATCTGCATGAGGCAGAGCCAGCTGTGCCCTCCCCCCCCATCCATTCCTCCAGTCAGCACTGGAGGATTGGGAAGGGGGGAATCCCTGCAGGGAGCCATGACTGAAAGTCACGGCTCTCTGCAGGGACAGGATTGAGAAGTGAGCGACGGTATGTGTTCGCTCACTTCCCGATCTATTGAGCCGATGTGTGACAGTTTCATTGTCTCATGTCTGATCAAACTGAGGAGTGTGGGTTTTTTTTTTCCCCCACTCGCCTCATAGTTCACAAGTCTAGTTTTATAGAAGAATTCTTATTCTTTACTCCAGCGCTCTTCTCTGTGATGCCCTAGTTGTGGGCAGTGCCATTGGCCCTGCATTAAGGCCTCATTCACACTGCTGCACGTGTACGTGCGTATTGTACCATATGCAAATAAATGGCTCCATACACATAGCCGTGTATGGAGCCGTATATATGCACAAAAACAGAATGGAACAGATGCGTCTGGGCAGTGTATTGCTGCGCGTACAGCACGTTTAAAATTCCATTACGAATGATTCATTCTGGGATTGCATATACGCACGTACATGCGTGCATATATGCAATTTTGCTCTTGCGTTGTGTGTGAATTGGGCCTTTAACGTGATGACATCTGCATCATTGCCGTTCAGAGCACCGCTCCGGTCTGTATCTGCTCCTGGAACGCGCTTGGTGTGAACAAGGCCTTCACACCAAATGCAGACCAGGTCTGCATGAGTTTCTGCACACGCAGTGCAGTGGATTGTGCCGCGTTTTTGATGCGTTCTGGGCCATTTTTGGTGTTTGCATGTGTTCCAGAGCGTTTACAGAGCAGGTAAAATGGGGCCTGCTGCAGTTTTTTTTTTTTTTTTACCTGCTCTGTAACTGAACGCTGTGGTGTGAACTGGAGCTAAAAATACAATTGGAATACACTGGGTGCAGTTTTGCTCCGGTCTGTAACTGCTCTGCTCCTGGAACGCGCTTGGTGTGAACAAGGCCTTGAAGAGGCCAGAGCAAGAAATTAGTATTTATTAGTATTAAACCTTTATTCCTCTCCCCCCACCCTACCCTTGCAAGCATTTAACCCTTGCAGAGGGGTTTTACAATCAAAGAGGAGGGGGGAAATGATACATGAGGAGGTAGCTGTGTGGGGATGACTTGTTTGAGAATGTGATGGTTGAGGAGGGATAGGCTTCCCTGAAGAGATGAGTCTTCAGGAAACGCCTAAAGACAGTCAGGGTGGGAGATAGACGGACAGGTTGGGGTAAAGAGTTCCAGAGGATGGGAGAGACTCTAGAGAAGTCCTGGAGGCGAGTATGGGAGGAGTTGACTAGGGAGCTGGAAAGCAGGAGGTCTAGGGAAGAGCGGAGTGGACGGTTAGGGTGATATTTTGAGACAAGGTCTGAGATATATCCGGGGGCAGAGTTGTGGATGGCTTTATAAGTGACTGTTAATATTTTGAATTTTATCCTCTGGGCGAGTGGAAGCCAGTGCAGGGATTGGCAGAGGGGGCTTGCAGACACTGAGCGGTTGGTCAAGTGGATGAGTCTGGCAGCTGTATTCATGATAGACTGAAGGGGGGATATCCTGTGTAGTGGAAGGCCAATGAGGAGGGAGTTACAATAGTCAAGACGAGAGATAACAAGTGAATGTATGACTAGTTTTGCGGTGTCATTGGTGAGGAAGGGGCGGCAGGATTTGGATAGTGATTGGATGTGGGGAAGAAAGGAGGTCTGAGTCAAGGATGACACCTAGGACCTTGGAGGAGGGGTGCATAGTTGTGTTATCAATCTCAACTGAAATGTTGGGAAGGTGCACGGGCAGGAGGAAATATCATGAGCTCAGTTTTTGAAAGATTGAGTTTTAAGAAATGTTGTGACATCCAAATTGATATGTCATTTAGTAGATTAGTGACACGAGAGGACACAGAGGGGGAGAGTTGTGGAGTGGAAAGATAAATTTGAGTCATCGGCATAGAGATGGTATTGGAAGCCGTGTGAGGTTATTAGTTGACCAAGGGAGGAGGTGTAGATAGAGAAGGGGTCCAAGGACAGAGCCTTGGGGGACCCCTACAGGAAGAGGAGGGGAGGAGTTAGAATTGTAGGTGAGGAGGAGAACCACGAGAGCAGAGTCTTGTAGGCCAAGCGAGTGGAGTTTTTTGAGGAGCAGCGGATGGTCAACAGTGTCAAAAGAAGCAGATAGGTCTAATAGTAAGAGTAAGGAATAGTGGCCTTTGTTTTTAGCGGTTATTAGGTCATTGGTGAGTTTTAGGAGGGATGTTTCGGTGGAATGTTGAGGGTGAAAGCCGGACTGAAAGGGTTCCAAAAGGTTATTAGCGAGGTGGCAACTCAGGCGGTTGTAGATAAGGCGTTCTAGTAGTTTAGAGGTGAATGGGAGTAAGGAGATAGGTCTGAAATTATTGAGGTTGGCAGGGTCCAGTGAAGGTTTTTTGGGTATTGGGGTGACTAGTGCATGTTTGAGAGGGGTAGGAAAGATTCCAGTAGAGAGTGAAAGATTGAAAAAGTGAGTAAGAGGGTGACCAAAGTAGTTTTGAGGGAACAGGGTTGAGGGAACAGGGTCCAGGGGGCAAGTGGTGAGGTGGGTGTCAGAGAGGAGCTTTGTAACTTCCTCTGGTGACAGGGTCAAAAGAGGAAAGTAACAAGTGTGAGGTAGGGTCTGGTACATTAATAGGGGCAGTTGATTGGACAGTGGCGATCTGATCCCGAATAGCATCTATTTTGTTTTTGAAATGAGTGGCAATGTCCTGGGCAGTGAGTGAGTTAGTGGGGGGTGGTGGAGGAGGCCATAGTAGAGACTTGACGGTAGAAAAGAGTTGACGTTGGTAACTATCGTAAGTATAGTAACCCCTTCACGACCAGAGGTCAATAAAACCTTGATGCCTGCACCAAATTTGGCATCTTGACTTTGCATCACATCTTGTGACAGGCACTCTTGCCTACATGAAGTAAAATCTGCACAAACTTAAGAGACGCTGGTTACTATGGGACAGCTGGTCCACATTTATCAACTTTTTAGGTTTACCCTGCTATTATAAGCTGACGAATTTGGAGAAGAAATGCAATTTCAGTTACTTTAAAGTTTTTGCTCCAACTTTTAATGTTTTTTTCTTTGATGCATTTTACATGCTCAGCTTTTTTTTTCTTTTGTCTTTTAGAGCTTCTAGAAAACTGGACAGATACCAGAGAAACATTGTTGGAAGGAATGTTATTTCATCTCAAGTATTTGGGCATGACCTTGGTAGAACAACCAAAAGGGGAAGAATTATCAGCAGCTGCGGTGAAGAGGATTGTAGCAACAGTACGTGTAGTATTTCCAAATCACAATTTCTACCCAAAACTTCCCTTGCCCTCCTGTGTTTAACAGTCATTGCAAGATGCTGTTCCAGCCACACATTTTGTAATCCAAGACCTTGGTTTGCTGACATCCTTTCTGTTTTGCGTCTCAGAAACTGAACAAACGTGGGAGTACTTAAACATGACGTACTATTACATAGTTTACAGCATGGTGAATGTTGGTATTTTCCAAGCTATTTTGGTTATAGATGCATCTTAAATTTTGGAAAGGGTGAGGCAGAATTACAATTCCTGCCAGGTTTTGCTGACATCAGAGGCTCTGTTGGAGAGATTCCTTCACCTCCTGTCTGGTAAAAATGTGGTCCCCAGGACAGGAAGTGGATGCTAGAGCAATTTTAAATATCCAATAGCAGGCTGGCTATTGCTTCCAGCAATGAAGTAAAAAAAAATAAATAAAAGTTTTAAAAAAATAAACTAAAATTAACAAAATAAAGTTAAATAAATAAAAAGTAAAAATCTAAAATACAAAAAAAGTTTTAGTTAAATAAACTAAAATTAAAAATCCCACATAAAATTAAAGGCCCCAGCCCCTGCGAACACACGCATTTAAAAAAAAAACATTGACATAAAATAAAATAAACAAATTTTTTTTTTTCCCAATACTCACCTGATCCCTGGATCCACCGACAAGTGCAGCCTCCAGTCTCGCATGGTGTCAGAAGCTGCATACAGCGAGTGCTGGTTACTACTTAAACGGCGCGCGCTGTGTGCAGCTTCTGAGAAGATACGCGTTTTACAGTAGCATGTATTAATCACAGGGAAGCAAGTGATTAACGCACACCATAAGTGTGAAAGGGCCCTTTAGGGGACAACCAGTGTAAGGGGCACCTATGGGAACAAGTAATAGTTGTGCCTTGTTGCATTAGTTCCCCCCCCATTGATGTCCCCTTACATTCAGCGGGGCACTCTGGGGGCAACCAATGTAAGGGGGCTTGAGGGGACATTGACAGTTAACCTTCTACGAGCACAGGTCCAATTCAACTGAGCAGCAGAATGAGACGCAACAAGGTCTATAAAAGGGGTCACAAAGTCTGCATTCATACCAGATTCAGTGCACTGTGCCCAAAGAACTTAATGAAATGTCACTTGTGACATTTCAATAAAGTTTTAACAAAAGAAAACTGTGCTGCGCCTATGTTGTAGCACAGCTGCTGCTTTGAATGCAGCCTGAATGGCACTGTGGTCAAGACGAGATCAAGTAACTGTTCTGTCTGGGCTGCATTTCGGACTTCTGCTGGAAGAACTTTACTCACTAGATCTCCTTGAATTTTAATCCAATACCCCTGATACTCCAATCATTCTAGCACTGGGCAAATACTAGGAGCCTGGTTGCTTAAAAATTACAGCTGGTGCCTAACTTTTTTGAGGTTTTTCCTCTAGTTGTCAATGGGGTTGGCTCCTAAATAGGTCATTAATGGAGGATCTGTCCCCCACTTTGATGGTTTTACTAGACCAGGAAGCGAGGGGAAAATCACAGCAGAGACCCAGCTGACTAAGGTTCTAGCCCCCTCAATGGGGGGGGGGGCATTGTACTGAAGTATTTTTTATTTTGCTTGTGCCACTGTTCATTTACCCTTCCTGTCTGGTGGAGATGTCACAGGATTGAAAGTGTGGCGGAGGGAAGGAGTGCTTTCCAATACAGCCACACATGACTGTAAAAACTTTGATCTAAAGGTTCTAAATCTTCTCACTCCATCCAAGAAAAAAAGTTTAGGTTTAAAGCTGGACTCATGTTAACTGTATCCTTATTTACATGTCTCTTTGCAAATGGTGTACTCCAAACAAATATTCATAGTTGGCTGTAGCTATACATGTGAACGGTAAAGAGGATTTTCTTTGTCTTATAGGGCTGGTGTCCTTCCTTCTATCCTAGTAAATTCAAATGTTCTACTTTTAATTTAGGCCAAAGCAAGTGGGAAGAAGCTACAGAAGGTTCTTCTAAAAGTTACTCCCAGAGGAATAATTCTTTATGATAGTGTCACAAACCAACTCATTGAGAATGTGTCAATTTACAGGTGAGAAATGGCACTGTGTGTATCTTGCATCCCCCAGTTCCCTTTTTATTTAGGAATTCACATGGGTCTTTAGTCACTCTGCCCCTATTGTGTTGAAATACTTGGGAGTGGTTTCTTCTTTTTTTTTTTTCTATACAGCTTTAATATGATTGGCACTCTGAACACAAGCAGGGGAATGTGTAGTACATTGTCAGTATCAAGGCCTTAGTCGGCTCCTTTCCTTGGAGGATTTGCAGCTGTTACTAAGTATTTTGCTTACATAATTATCTAGTTTCATATGGTAGAT